GAAGTTGACGTAGAGTCACAAATTCTTTTGTGTTTTCAAACATTGTTTTTCAACAGCTTTCGATCGTACATATATTCCAAAAGGTATGTGTTACTTCTCCATTTAAACCAATAAAATTGCTCATGTCCAAGCAGCTTTGTTTTACTTTTTCCGTTTGAGCTCATGATCCAAATTCGGCATTTTTCTCTATAAATCCAAACTGATTAATCATGAAGAGATTGTCAAATGTGGACACTAGTTATATTCAAATGTTTAAATATCACCAAAGTAATAAAAAAACTGTTTAATATAGTTTTCTTTTGTGGATGATGAGAGAAAAGGTCAACGGTGATTAGGGAAGTGATATTGACAAATGACAAATGGTTATTAAAATAACAATTTAATTTAGTATAAACAATACATCATTTTGTGCTTAATCTAATCTTAAGTTGAGTTGTCTTATAAATAATTAAGTAAGAGGCCTCGATTAACGGACTGCTACTTATCGTTAAGACTACTTACTCTGGATAATGATCTGTCACGAAATTAAAAGCTGTTTTGATCTATAATATGCAAAACATATAGTTTTTAAATGTGTAAGTTGAATCTTATTTCGTGGTATACCCAATGGAGGAACCATTTTTTCTTAGGAATAATTAATTAATCATCAAGTAAGAGACAGCCCTAGTCTTGGCTTTGGACGAATATAATTTCATAATATTAGATACTAAAAACATTCAACAACAATAAAAAAGTTATAAAGAACCCGTCAATAGTTCAACTAGATATCCAACTCATTGTTATATAATTATTGGCATTATTACTAATATCTTATATGTTATCTCTTAATTAGTCCCACTAAACTTACAGCAGCCTCTTGTGTTTGAATTTTAATGTATTTAGAACCAAATCCCATTTAGCGATCACTACTCAAATCTAAAACTATAATTTTGCATTAACCAAATTGTTATAACCTAGTGATTTTGTCTTAGTTCTTGAGGTTGGCGTTTGTTTTCAACTAGGTACATTTTTTAAAACATACAGTATATCTTATTTTACGTTTTGGCTAGGTATCGATCGGTTTTATTATTGTTTGACTGTCATCAGTACTAAATATGAACCTAATTTTATCGTAATAAAAATATGAAATTCAAATGTATACTTGACAAAATAAAAAGCCGAGATATATAGACTTGTTTATGATAAACTATCGTGTCTACATATGGATCCAAAAGGTCATTCTATATGTAAGAACGGGCTCTAAAAATATAAGATACGACGTCGACTCCAAAAACATATACAAAAGCCGGTGCTCGTTCATGGATATTCTGGTTGTGCCGGTTATGAGAAATTTAAATTTAGGAATTACCTACAAATTGTTATATTTTAGTCTCTTTTTTTTGACAAGTTATATTTTAGTCTAACCCGATATTTTTATAACAAGTTATATATGAGATTCAATTAAATGCTGATACATGGACTTAGCCAAGTGATAAATATTATAACAGAAGGTTTTGCTACACTAAACCAATTTGGATTTTTTTTCAATAAAGAAACATACGCATAAATTATCCAAAAAAAAAAAAAACATACGC